CCTGTGTCACATCCATTTACTTATTTAAATCACTATGTAATAACCCATATAATTGGAACCGATCCCTCAAGGAGGAATTCTTCCATTTAGCACTTCATGTGTGATTAAATGCTTTGTATTATTAATTTGATTGATAGAGTAAGAATGGAAACTAAACTATATCTTATAGAGCATATAACTGATAGACTTTAGCAGTAAATAGAGAATCTTGTGCATGTGACAGTTTGAGAGAATGTGTAACAAACAATAAACAAAGAAAGAAATCTGTGTCAGCGCTGCGCTTCCACTTTATCAAATCCCACATTGCTCAGCTGATTTCTACATGATCCTGAATGGGGAATATTCAATCAAATTGCTCCCTGTGCGTATACAGAACACACATGTTGTACTCCTTTGTGAGCCTTTGAGCGTCATGGCATGCCATTGACTGCAGGGATTTCTCTGCAGCAGAGAGGAGGCCAGCTGGGGCTGTTTGGGGAACGAGGAATGACATGAATCAATGAAAGAAGAGTGAGAAGCGGGTTGGAGATGAATGCACTGCTGAATGGGAGGAAGAATGGAAGAAAGAGAGGGAGAAGGGGGTCCTCAGAGTGTCTTAAGCAGCCCTCTGCAGGGGTTATGTTCAGCTGAATTAATCTGTTGTGAAATGTGCAAGTGCAGCCTGGACTGTTGCCTCGTGTGCATTGGAGATTGGGAAGAAGAGTAGGGGGAAGTGTGGGGGTCCAGGGGGAGGCTATGTCATGAAACAAGATCTGAAAAGGCAAATTTCCCCACAGGGTTTGAGCCCTTCCTTCCAAGTCACCCTGTCACCCTTGGATTACCCTGTCTAAACCTATTCCACCACCCTCACATCTGACATCAAAACACACACACACACACACACACACACACAAACACAAGACACATTAGCATAGCCTATAGGCCATAGAGCAGCATATTGCAGTACATAGGCATAAAGGCCATCCTGTGGTGGTGGAGGTGGCCCACGGCTATAGCATATCAGCTGGCAGCTGTATGTACTGTATTCTACCCAGTTTTACTGTCTTTATATCAGGAACACATTACTGGTTAAACAGCTACCACGTAGCTTCTGCATAATCACTGATGGAATGGCATAGTATGTATGTGAACCAGTATCCCAAAAAAAGAAGTAAAAACGTCAATTTGTAGTTTGTAGCAGCTGTCATTCGGTCGGCTTTGGAGGTACTGGAATTTTGCTCACTGTGGTGTCATATTTTGTCTAATTATCTTCAGCAGTGAAGCAACTCAGACATTGACTGATGATGCTGTGAGAGAGAGATTGGTGGACAGATGAGAGACAAGGAGAGAAATAATGAATGAACACAATTCAGACAGGAGAGAAGGGGAGCAGAATAAGCAAACCAAAGGGCTCATTACCGTGTACAGCAGAAGATTCTGATCATGACAAAAAGAGACAGACTGATCAGTAATCCCTCCTGCCACTTCCTTCCCACCAAGTTCAGAGGGCTGAGAAGCAGTCACTTGGGACTGGCCAATTAGCACATTAGAAGGTGTTGTTTAGATCCATGGTGTCATGTGTCTGTACATATAATGTAGCTGCTACAAGTGCCATGACAGATCAAGCCCTCAGAAATCAGCTGCTGTCTCATGTTGACATCCAACTGTTGGAGCTGGTAGTTGAAGTAGTAATCTGCTAGATGCATTTTTTAAATGTTTTTTGCATCTCTTTGTAAGTGTCCATTACTCCCAGAGATCACCTGCTGATCGAACAGCATTCACTGGGATGTTTTTTGTTGGAGAAATGTTGCTAAGTTTCTGTGGTGGAAGCTCTTACTATAATAATTTTTTATGCTAACTAACTTATTTTCACTTCTTTTTAACAAACTACCTGCTACTACTTAGATTTGATGACTGATGTTAGACCCTGGCCTGACTTTAGTTTTATGAACTTGCGTTAGTTAAAAATAGGAAACAGACTTTGTTTAATCATGTAGCTGGTCCGATCAGAAGGCAAATATGATCTGCCTTACATCCACCATCAATTTCAGATGTTCAAGGTTGTGAGGGGGCTCGAGCCAATGCCAGTATGCAATGGGTCACAGGCAGGGCACACCCTGAGTGGCCTGTCAGTCCAACACTCTTAAACAGAGGAACACATTCACACCTACAGGCAATGCAAGTTTAACCTGCATGGGCCTTCACATAATGAGGTGTGAGATGACATTGCAACTGAGCATTCGTACCACCTCTACAATATCTACCACTAGACACAAAGTTGCTATATCGAACCACATTAAACTGCTTTTCTACTAGTGTACATTCAAATATTCTGCTCAGAAATTGCCAGAATGTTATTACGAGTTCACAGCAGCTGATGTACAACATTGCTCTTGAGCTAATACAGAAGTATATATAAAACACAAAGTCATTTTTACATTTATATTTATGTTTTTCACAATTGTGTGGAAACCAAACAATAGCTTTTGACTTAGTATGGCAGAAACCCCCTTCAGCTCAGTTGCGGGCATTCAACGTGTCATCTTGTTATTCTTGATAGGCAGCCTGGTGGGCAGGTGTGTCGGGTCTGTCAGTGTGCATTCGGGAAATTGTGCACTCTGCAGACTTTGCTTTCATCTGGGGAGAGAGGGACTGTACACTACATAAATATGACTGATGTTTGTTTGTTTGTGCGTGCATACATATGCGCAAACAGTGTGGGTTTATGTGTGGTTGCAACTGCGTCCCACAGTCTAAAAATCCTCTGGTCTTCATTATCATGCTGCCTTGCACATAACTAACAAAGGTGAGTTGTCGATATTAGTAGCCTGTGTGATTCTGGGAGGATTCTATGGATCTATCTTTGTCTTTTTTTCATTGTCAGGGCTCAGTGGATAGCAACTGTCTGGCAGGTTGAAGAACTGAGGTCTCATCCCCGTCTGCAGGTGAAGGTTTAGACAGCCAATGTTAGAGAGTCTGGGGATTTACAGAGATGGATAGAGTGAGTGAAGCTGGAGGCTCTCAGCACACATTCTGGTCAAAGAAGCAGTGTTTCATTGTCAGTCTGCAAAACACTGACAAACATTGAAGATGAATTGCTCTGTCACCACCAGTAAGGGCTAGGAAATCAATTCCTTGATTTATGGCCCAAGTAGTTGTATGTTTTTTGTATTCGTTTGATTATCATTTTTAAATATATTCTTTAACTTGTTGTTTTTTTTTTCCATTTCTTGCTGCTATCCTCATCTATGTCACTGCAAAGGCCTATTTTATAATATATACACAAAAATCCACTCGTACAGTTACACAGACGCAAAACCATTTGTGAATGATAGTAACGAGGGTCACGCAGGGCGACCCAGATTGATAATGCAGTATGCCAGAGGCAGAGTACTGTCACTACCGTGACTAATATGGCTTTCCCATCCAAGGCTGTTGCCAGCTGAAACAACAGGCTGGGAGCTATGTGAGTTAGACATTATGCAGCATAGCATAGTGTGCTGGGAGCAAGTTACCCCACTGTCTAAGCTGATTTGACACAGTCAGGTGAAACAAGTTCGGAGTTTCAAGACTTTTTTGGTGCTTTTCTTTTTTTGTGGAAGCCTGTCTGTTTGTCTCTTAGAGGGTTCAGGAGTAGAACAGCCTGTCTTAGTGACTCTTTCATAGATGGATTTGGACACTCACTGTGAAGTGATTTAATACATTCTGCCTATGTATTTATTTTCCAGTGGCTATTCATTTGATTCAGCCACCAAAGTTCCTTACTCCAGTCAAATTGTGAACACAGAAAATCCAATCAAAATCAAATTTTAAGAAGGAAATGGCATCCGCTTCATCTGTACTTTGTGTTTAGTGTGAATTTGCAAATGTTACAATGCTAACACACCAAGCTAAGATGATAAACATGGTGGACAGCGATGTTCCTGATAAATATCGGTATGTCAGCATTGTATTTGTGAGCATGTTGCCATGCTGATATTAGCATTTAGCTTAAAGCACTGCTGTGCATCCTCAGGGAGCAGATAGTGGGAAAAATATTGGACTGCTTCATGACAAAAGGAGGTTGTTTTTTTAGCACAAAACAGAAAAATTATGTTGTTTTTCCAGCACCTTATGATAAGAAGCAATAGGGTTTATAGAGCACACTAGCAAAAACAGTATGTCTGGCATGAGATCGAAATTACCAGTTATCTTGTTTACAGCAATTAAGCTATCAAAATGAATCTTAAAGAACATGTGGTGCTTTGAAACACATAGCATCTTCAATGATGAATGGCCCATGAACATGTGGATATTTAACGATGCTGAATGATAAGAAAACCAGGCCATCTCACTTCTACGTTCTTACTCTCCTTGTCACATATTTGAGAGTACAAGTGACAGAGGGACTCTGCCAGCATGTGGAGATGAATGTTTTTTGCCTCGGCACATGGCCTGATCTGTCTTGATTCAGCCCCTCTTACATCATGGCACGTGCCCCGGGGCTTTCTTTCTACAGAGCAGGCGTTCTGTATTTAAAGCCTGATCTATACACAAACACACATGCCACTGGGGAAGCCACAATGAGTGCTCTTTTCCCTCTGCCACAATTGCCAGCAATATAATCATCTTCCCACACTTCAGTGTGCCTTTAAGGACAGCATTCAGAAACAACAGAAGCAACATCTCATGAAAGCAAACAGTAATTTTAAAGGCCTAAGGGAGTGGATGGATGGTTTAAAATATTCTTGAAGCGGCCATTTCAGGGTAATCTAATAATTTTAAGAAGCAATTTCGTCCTATTACTCTTCTCTTGTCATTTTACAGTTGCATGTTGCCATTTTAATCTCATGTCTTTTCTTCAACTCAACATTGTTTATAAGATTTGCTGTGGAACTCAATTCATACCCTGCAGATTCTGTGAATAAGGAGGTGGTCGAGAAGAACAAATCCACCTGGTAAATGCACCGTTCGAGGGGAAATGAATAACAATTCTTATGTCTGTTTTTCCCCACCTCTTTCTTTTTTCTCTTTGTTCTCAGGTTGTTAGAGAGTTCCTTGCTCAACGCAGAAATGAAGGAAGGAGAGATTCTGCCTCCTACCATTCAGAGGCTGATGAAAGGATACAACAAGTACCTTAGGCCTTTCTTTGACAGTAAGGAAACTGCAGACACATGCAGCCATGGGAATGATCACGCTCAGGGGAAATGTGAACCACAGGGGTTCATCTTGCAATTTTGTACTTACATACATTTAAATTTACTGCATATGCATTTTATAATATGATGAAGTCAGGTTTATCTTTGAAATTGGTTTGTCCCATAACTACTTTGGGTTTAACACAATGATAGTATTAGAAAGTACATGCAGAAGAATATATATATATAAATTTGAAAATATGATATTCATTGTGTAACTAAGACTAGAGCTGCTAATACTTGTGATATAGACTCCAATTTTCAGCAATTTACTTGCAATAGAGAATCAAAGTCTATCTCTGTGTATGCTTTCAGAGATTCAGTGTTATATCATTCCCTACAAATCCCTCGCTAGTTCTATTGTTCTGGGTTCAGGCAATCCTGTCATAATGGGATTAGGGTTTGTTTACTCGCTGTTTGATCTGTAATAACACCTCGGACTTTTTGAGTCGAATGCTATTCGGTGTAATCACCACTCCTCCTGCCAAGGAACACACGTTTTGCACACACCGATGGTAAAAGCACTGCTAAACACGAACCCACATATTCACACACCCACACACATGTATTAGCATTACTAGCAACACTCATTAACCACACACCCATACCCACTTATCTACTGCGGGTCCACACAAAGACACACAGTATCTGCAATACGACAGCGCGCTCATTAATCGCTCACAGAAGTGACGGTTGGTGAGTGAGAGAGAAAGAAAATGGGAAGATGAAGCGTAGGAGAAAGGCAAAGTTACCTCTCTTTGATGGTGAATTAGGGAAAACTAAGTCCCTCAAGGAGGTTCACACTGGACAGACTGCAGCTGTTGATGTGCCAGTGATGTGGGGTCTTTTTTAAATATGCTGTCCTTCCATAACCTTTCATTATATAACACTATGCTTTATTATACAACCATATATCCCTATGCCTTATACCCTGTTATGTCATATAACTCACAATGAAGTCACATGTATTCATTAACACTGACAGACACACACTAGAGCATGGGTAAATATTCAAATGGTGGAGATTATGCAGTGGGTAAACTGTTTATTATTGGTTTCTTCTTTGTGTCTAGATGGTCCTGTAACAGTAGGTATGAGCCTGGACATTGCCAGCATTGACACCATCTCAGAGATCAACATGGTAAGAACATAAGTAATTAAGTGTAGCATGCAGTTATTCGGTTTATGGGTCGTTGTGTTTCCCTCTCCTGTTTACCTTACTTAACCCTTTCAATCCCAGGCCCAAAATTGTATCTAACTGCATCTATTGTACATAAATTGTCACTTTAAAATATGGACGCATTACAGTTTTGCTTTCACAATAACCATGGCTAATTAAATATGAAAATGAAAAAAACATTTTTGATGATTTGAATAGCTGTTTGCCTTGAAAAATCCATTTACAAAATGCCTTTTTTTTAGTAATAGTAATTAGTTTAGTAATTTAGGCATATATAAGCATTACAACAGCATACTGACCAATAAATAACACAGGCCAGAACAGAGCATTTGCAACATCAAGCCAAATAGACCCTTTTGACTTCAGAGGGTCACGGGACAACACCTACAATGTGACATGCTTACCAAAGCCTCAATTAGAGCTCAAATGGTTAGTCAATTGGTCAAATAATATGCAACAATTTTGACAATCGATTAACTGATAAAAAGTCACTTTTCCAGGAAGATTTCCAAATATAATCAATTAATGACTCAGGCAACCATTTACAATAGCATAATGAACCATTTAGAGACTCTTCTCCCAAGTCAGGAGAGGGAAACGCAACCAATACTGATGTGCACTTGTCTCTTGGATCTCCATAACTTAGATCTCCATTAGAGATGACAACAAAGCATGGTAGTTCATTTTGCTCAATAGGACTACTGACATGTTGACTGACAGCGAAATACACCAGGCAGTTCATGGCTAAGCCTCACATAAACAGCGGAGAGAATGCTGGCATTTCACTGGGACTAATAGGGTTAATTCATGTGGGGCTGAACATGTTTAGCTAGGATATTGCTCTCACAGCTTGTTGCCATACCACAGAAGAAATTGATTACGCAGCTACACATGATGTAACATCAGGACTTTTAAAATGGATGTCCTGCACAAAATATGTTCAGTGTCCTAAAAACCAGAAAAGACTTGCTTCAGGCACAGAAGGGTTTAGGGACCTGACGCTGTCAATACCCAACAATGCAGAAAAAAATCCACAACCTGAATAATGATACAATACAAGTATTCAAGAGAAGCTTAGATTGCAGAAACCTCATTTTGTCTGTCAGGATGATGACATGCTTGTTAAAATAGTGCATAAGCTCTGTTGTGACCTTTGAGCCCCAATCCCGCAGGACTACACTGCCACCATATTCCTCCGCCAGCGCTGGACGGACGAGCGCTTGGTGTTTGAGGGCAACAAGAGCCTGAGCCTTGATGGGCGGCTAGTGGAGCTGCTCTGGGTCCCTGACACCTTCATCGTTGACTCCAAGAAGTCCTTCCTCCATGACATCACCGTGGAGAACAGGCTGATCCGTATCTTCCCCAACGGGACCGTCCTTTATGCACTGAGGTGTGATATCGCACAAGCTCGTTGGTTTATTGGTTTTTGTGTTTGTTTTTTTCTGCTCCAAGAGACAATGAAAAGTAGGCCAGGGAATGGAGAAGAAATTGTCTCAGGGAGGAAGCGTGGGTTGAATTTGAGAGAATATGATTGCAAAGCAGGGAGTTCTGTCAATTCTGTTTGGATTGGATTGTATGAGTACAGGAGCATGTGATCTTTCAATACAAAGAGCTGTGGGCTATCAAACCAACATAAGTCCCATCTCTCCAGCATTTATTGCTCTGTGTGCATGGGTTTAACATCTGACAAGCTCTTGGCAAGCTTCTGAAACATGCCTTGACGTTTTGATTAGACACTGGGCCAAGCAGACAGGTTATAGTTAGAAAGGTTATAGATTATCCTGCAAGTGAATTTGTTCAGCTCTTTTAAGCCTATGATGAAGGGATTTACACATCACACCATTCTCTGTGTCACATGCTTTAACCTCGGCGTGTCCATGGTCCTGACTTGACTTCACTCACTCAATGCTTTTGTGCCTTGATCTCTGAGCTTCTTTTAATGCATGCAGTTTTGTGGTTACACAATGAAAGAGAAACACGTCACACGGCATCACTGTTCTAACTGTAACTTTGTAAGTATGGGGTGGGGGCTGGGGGGGCTTTATGTTATAGTAAATTGGTTTGGGTATTCAGGGTCAGTTCAGTCTGGCATCACAGTTAATCATGTCTCTGTACATTGATTTGATTGATTAATGCTTTTATTTTTAACAAGTACATGACATTGTTATGTCCAGTGTTGCTCCATTTTTTGCTTTATGTTGCTCTAAATGTGCTCTAGTCTTCATGGACATTTGCCTCCATATAGAGAACTGCATAGCTTCTGGGCTTTACCCCGACAGAGGAAATTGGTAGCGCTTCACAGTCTGGGAGCAGGACTAGTGAGAGTAAAACGAGCCAAAAAAAAAAAACATAGTCAGGAGAGTGATGGCCACCTCAGGGAATTGGGCCTGTGAAAGAGGACAGAGTGGAGTGAGAAATGTGAGGTGTTGAAGGAAAAGGACAGCTGTGGTAAATGTTTCAGTGTGCTGTGCCAAAAGGGAATACGCAAGAAAGGTGATTGGTGCTAAAGGTTGAGCAGTTAAATGGAAAGATTTAATACGAATTACTGGATGCTACTTTTATGGTTTAGGAGGGTCTGTTCCATATTTGTGTTGAAAAATAACATGATACCAAATTTCTGACTACTAGATGCCTATGAGACAAAAGGCTTGTGTAAAGTGTTGTAACACAGTCACGGTGCATAGTAAACTAGTTGTGGAGTACATGTCTTCCTAACTGAATCAGCTAATAAAAGTCCTCCACAGATGATGCATCACATCAATCATTAGAGCTTCATGCACACCCTGACAGACTGCCCCTCATTGACTCAATATTTTGATGAAAGATTGATGTTGAAAGAGGGAAACGTGTATAAGATACTGTATGTCCCCAACAGTTATTTCAACAATGCAATATGTATGCTGGAATTTTATTTATAAAAATCGTTAATGAGTTAAAGAAATATATAGTTCCCATCTAAATGATTGTCCTTTCTTGTTCTCGCAAAAAGTTTGTACATTAATGAAATACATGTTTAACATGTTCTGTTGTTCCAAAACACATAACACAGGGGTTTATAATATTTGTCATTAAAAAGTTAGGAGACCTCTGGAGCTTTTTTGAATAAGCTGAGACCTTAATGGTCTTAATGGTGGGGTGTGCGAATCTGGAGAAATCCAATTCCATGACAAATGGACTTTAGCTACGTTGTGGGTTAGCAAACTGTTGTTACAGTTGCTGTTACGAGGCTAGCATGCAGAGAGGATGAAGCGGACACCAGCTCCAGACAGCAATACTCACATCTCTCCTGCTACTATAGCTAACATCACAACAACATCATGTCTTGGTGAACTAGAGAGTAAGCTGAATGTCTGCGAGTCATTTAACATTACCTGACACACACATCATGGCTGAAATAGCGTTGTGTGGCGGGGGTCACTTTGTTTGTTTACAGAGCCAGGGCTGTGTACAAATGCCAGATTTTTTTCAGTAGGATAAAAATTGCATACCCCACCTTTAACACAACACTAAAGAACATTTATGCATGGCACTTATTCTGAATTTTTAATACCAAAATTGCATCATTCTGAATTTTGATGCACTTAAGACAAAAATGATGCTATGAGAGGCTCATACATGCTGGCCCCGATCTACAGCATGACAGCAATGCAAAGTAAAGACTGCTTAATTATAACATATACCAGGAACTCAGCCAACCAATTCTTCACAGCACAATTTTAACCAGAGGGAAGGGAAGTAATTAAAAAAACTAAATTTTTTCTTTGAATACACATCTGGTATGAGTTACAAGCACTGTGCTAGAATCTACAGCAAAAATAGCATTTATTGCAGGTATCCTCTTTCATGGAATTCCCCTTTAACAACAACAATTTTTTGTGTTTGTTTTTTAGGATTACCACCACCGTGGCTTGCAACATGGATCTGACCAAGTACCCCATGGACAAACAGACCTGCACACTACAACTGGAGAGCTGTAAGGACACTTACTTAATAAAGAAAATCTGCACAGCTTGTAGCCATGGCAGTGAGTTGGTGGGTGGGCGTGATGTCAAATGAATCTGATCAAACCAAAGGATCAAACAGATCACGTTCTCTCATCTTCTAAAACGCTGGTGTGTGTATGTGCCTGCGACTGTGTGTGTGTGTGTGTGTGTGTGTGTAAGACTGCATGCTTATGTCACACAGCAGACAGAAATTGCAGGGGCAGTTTCAGTCATGATGAAGTATTCTTCTTTGTATGGTTGTCACGACAACGAAGTCATATGAAAATTGTCGATCCTTTAAAGGAATAGTTTAACAGTTTGGGAAAGACGCATTATTGCCGTTAGCTAAGAAGATCCATAACACTATTATGACTGTCTGTTAAGTATGATAGGGCCAGAAGAGCTTAGCTTAGCTTAGCACTCAAAGACTCAAAGCTAGCCACCTACTAACAGCGTAACTGTAATCTCACTAATCAAAACATATACTTTTTTGTATTAGCCATACAAAAAACTACATGTAAAAAAAACCCGCTTGTATTATCAGGGCGTGCTACAAGTTGTTTTCTTCTGTTCGTGATGATGGCAACATTCCTCATTAAAACCACAACTTGTTTTACATTTTGATTTCCATACATGTTATACAAACACGAAACAGCATGTTAATTGCTGAACTTTCAGGTAGGCGTAATTTGAGATTTGGACAGAGCCAGGCTAGCTGTGACATAGTTAAAGGCTCCCTGTGGAATGTTTGACCACTAGTAGCACTATAGAGAATTCTGTTGCCCACGCATGACAGTTGGCAGCAGTAACACGCAAAGAGACATAGCTATGTGCTAACAAAAGGCAGTGGAAAAGAAGACTGCCATCAAATTAACATGATTTAATTTTTTTTTTTTTAAAGCTGGCTTTGCAAATGTTTTATTCAACATTAGCATTATTTTGTGTAATGTTTAAATATTTAAGTGTAATTTATATAGGTTTTCCATCTCAAGGCCCAATGTGTACGCATCTAACTCCACTTCTTCTGTGCATCTTCCTTTACTTGTGCAAATATGCTTTTTACAGCAGCCATTTTCCCTTATTTTAGGGTCAGGCTGTCCCTGATACCTTCTTAAGACTGCAAACAATTCTTATACAATTCAAATCACATTTTCGCGAAATAGGAGTGATTTGCCTAATTTTGACATGTTTTCGATTAAGATTAAGTAACATGACAAGATGGATTTTTTGGCTGTGCAAAAGATGGAAGGAAGAAAAAGTCCTCCCCTCCTCTCTGTCTCCCTTGCTCATCTGCCGTCTTTGCTTTGCAGCTCGCTTTTGCTTCATGCTATTACATGACAGCCATCCAGGCTAAGCTAAGGCTGATCCCTGCCAGAAACCCACCAGGACCTCAGTGCCAAATAAAACATTTAACGGTATCCCTGGTCCCACTTAGCAGACAAAAAAACATCTGGAGGTTAAAGTTAGGTAACTGGGAGGATAATGGAGCCTTACTCTGCTGCTTCAATAATTCCAGGCTAAATATCTGCATCTTTTTCACCATCTCTTACCATCTCTCTCTGCTGTTTTCTCTCTGTCTCTCTCCCCGTTTGTCCTTTCCTTCAATCTCTATCTCCGTCTTGGTCTGTCTCTCTGTCTCTTTATGGAGATGTATATTCAAGGATTTATGTCTTTTAATGCTGTGCCAAAAGTGGATCCACTGCACAGGAGGAAGGTTTGAAGAGAGTGTCGTTGTGGGAGGTTGCGGGGCGTTTAGATCAGGATTGCAGTAAAATATTTAGTGCATTCTGACACCAGAAAAAGTCAGAAGATAGTCACAGTCTTTTGTGATCTATGCTTAAATTTTACATCTGGTGGTAGCCCTTTAAAAAAAACTTTGATTGTGGATATGGCGACTTTTTTTTTTAAGGGGCCTCAGGGAACTGGAAGATTGAATGTACCCCTATGTTACTCTTTCCATGCTATTGCACAGCATATCACTACCCATTGATGTCTCAAATTTTTACTGTAATGACAGGGCTTCAGGTCAGGAAAATAATGAGTTCTTCTGGTAAAATTAATGCAATGGGAGAAAAAACAACGAATTTACAGGACCTTTCAGCATCAAAGTCACCACTGCCCTTCATTAGGGGACTTTGCTCCCAGCATCACGGCTCACACTGGTCAATAATACATGACCCCATATGGGAATAAATGTGGAGAGCAAAAGCAATTTTATGACCATTTCATGTGCAACAGACTATAGAGGTGTATTGCAGCTTCAGCCAACTGCATTTTCTCTTGCTTTTCTTATTCTCTTGCTCCCTCTGCAGATAAATTAGAAAAATACACCAAATAGGATTAACCTTTTTGTTCTCAACAAATTGTATCATAAGAACTACACCAGTTCGTATTACTTGATGTTAATATGGTTGCACTATACCATCAAAAGCTCTACCACACTGAGAAGTGGCATCTCTGGCCATGTTAATTTTGCATGCCTTCCTATTCCAAGTTTTATTTGGGTTATCAAGGCACTCTAGGGCCCAGTGCAATATGCATGATTAGTCTGTTATGGTACGAGGCACAAGAGTTAAGCTGTTCATCAGGACTTTTGCTAACCCCTTTGAAGAAGTGAATGAACACCACAAATGCATTTCCATTAGCAAATCCTGCTGGAGCTCTGTTTGTCAAATGGCGTTAGAGTGAATAATGGGAAAATATTCTGTTTCCATTGTGACAATAACATGAAATATTAACATTGTATTTTAAAATCGGGTCGTTGTAGTTACATACTATGTCAAACTCATGTGTTTTATTGGCAGATTGAGTGCTGCGCTATGTTGACCTTACCCGTTTGCTTCTCAGGAGTGATGTGACATCTTTAAGTAGATGTTTTCACATTCCCTTTGGTTCTTGCCAAATGTTTGTCTTGGGCTGACATTTAGCATTAGAGGGAATTTACCACCCACTGTGGGGTTTCAATCCCACACAACTCAACCATAAGAGGATCAGACTTTAGCATAGCTTGAGCAGTTAACATCACCATCTCTACTAGGGGTTCAGTAAAAAAAACAACTACTAATACTGCTGTATCATCACTACCACCACCAGTATTTACAGCAGCTTTCTCATATGTTATATAATGTAATCATGATATTTCCACCTGATACTGTTCCTGGAGAAGAAAATTAAATGGACAATGTGTTTTATTTACTGTATACCCTTGATATATTGTCTCCTTTTACGTTTTATTGTGAATGTGTTAGCAAACAGTTGCCTACATACACATGCAACAGACATAGAGCAGCATTCATTTGGGCTTGTGTTTGTGGCCAACTGACAATATTCACACTCCAAGGAAGGTTAAAATCAATGGCCGCTGGACATTATTAAAGATACTGGTGGCTTCTTCAGTTCTGACTGACTGGCAGGGAATCCCAGCTGTTAAACCTCTGCGGGGTCGTTGTCAACATGATGGATACCGCTTTGTTCATTGCTGCTCCTGGCTATCGTAATGGCCGTTGGAGACACCTGAGGCCAAGTCTGAGTGACTGTCATCGTTATTCTCACATGAGGCCAAATGTGAACGTTAGTTCTCTTGGATGAGAGGCGGAACTTCTTTGGGTATCTTCATTCAAGTCCAGTTGCCATCGATTTGAATTGAGAATCTTCACAGAGATGTTCACTCTCCTTTTAGCAAGGCTGGTCTACACCTTCAAGACTTATCTGGCTCTTTAGCTGCTAACTGCTCTATTATATTCAGCTAGTCGCTAACTTTGTTTGTCTATGCTTAGGTGCTGGGTAGGTAGTGTAAAGTGGGTTAATAAGAGCTTTTTTGCTGAAGCCAGAAACAAGATTATTGAGAGTGGTAAATCTGAACTAAAACAGTAATGTTTCAGGCAGCAACACCAAAACAGTTAATGGAAAGGCTGAATGCTGAGAGGAACTAAAGAATTGAGTGATAATTCTCTGGGGGTTATTTACTACAAACAACAAATTGTTTATTTTCTGTGATCTTCCCAAGAAAAGTCATTTTTAATATCTTTTTTTTCTCCTACAGGGGGTTACAACATCAATGATGTCATGTTTTACTGGACCAGAGGAAATGAGTCTGTCAGTGGTTTAGACACTCTCCAGCTGGCTCAGTACACAGTAGAGGACCACTATACATCTGTCTCAGAGGCCGTTTATGAAACAGGTAACAACGATTTTCAAACCCATCGCCTAATGTAACTGCCAGGACTGTACTTATGTTTAAACAGCAAAACCCTTATGGGTAGGATTTCTCATTGACACTACATTTTTTCACTTGTGTCCCACTTCTTTAAGGCAATTACCCCAAGCTGGTCTTCCACTTTGAGCTGAAGAGGAGCATTCTGTACTTCATCCTAGAGACTTACGTCCCCTCGAGCCTGCTTGTTGTCCTCTCATGGGTTTCTTTCTGGATTTCCCTGTCCTCTGTTCCAGCACGAATTTGTATAGGTATTGGGCAAAGCAATCTTTTTTTCTTTAACTGTGAAAATGTGAGCAAATGTCATATGCTTTTACAGTGCACCAAACTGTATCTAGGTATTGTGTGTCTCTGAAGGTGCTGTGCACTGTTGTTATGAGTTAAAGAATCCACATTATTTCTCTTTTTAAGTCATATGTTTACTACTACACAGATATAAGATACTTTAACTGTCCTTTAGGGAGTGCAAACATTGGTTTGAGTTTGATTTGATTTAAGAGGGTTGAAGAGAGCATCTGTGACACTGTTGTTATCTAGCAGGAACATCCAAACATAGATGTTGCATTTAATTACATCCACCACTACTGCAGGGGGTTTGAGAACACGTTCTCAAAACAAAAAATCTCTACAAGATATCCTGCTTCATGGCACACTGCATGAAAAGGGATTCAATTCGGTAAGGTCCGTGCAGATAATCTTGGTTGCCTTTGCTGGGTTTCTTGTGTTGTTGCTGCATTTATTCTTTATAAGATTGATTGTCTTTCATCCTCAACACACCATGATTGACTGAGATACATCTCATCTTTTGTCTCATAATTAAGGACATACAATATGTAAGCATGTATAAAATGTCTCCAGTTGCAAGACACCACAAAAATGATTCTTTATTATTATCTATTTGAGTATACTACATACTGTATAACATTGACCAAAACCCAGAAATGAACTTATCCTATTTAAGTATTGCCAGTGTATCCAGATCCCTTACTATAGTTTATTCATCTGAGCCATAGACCTCTCTTGTTACCAAAAAACTATTAAAAACTCATTAATTATCTGCACTGTTGCATTTGGAGCCATGGTTCTCAATTTACCTGAACATGGGCACTGTTGAAGCATTTTTTAACAAATATACTGCCCACTTTGTTCATTGAACAATTCTTTGGGTGGTTGCACGTGTAATGCCCCCGAAAAGTATTCTTCCATAACAGTAAAGCAACTTATGAAAGAGTGCACCTCTGTTGAAAATAAGGAGAGCTGTATATGTGTTTTGATTACATTACATGATTAAACACTCGTGAGTTAACATCTTTACTATCACAGGCAGACCAAGCAAGCCAGCTAATAAGGTATTACTTACTGGTCCAACAGCTAGAAGGCCAGCTTGGCATCCTTTCAGTCGTTTTAGCTCAGACCAACGAGTAAAACCCAGTACGATATATACGCCTTGCTCGGTTACTCTCTCTTTTTCTCTTCTTCCGACTTCTTCAGTCTCTTCGAAGCCTCTGCCACTGTATCCACACTGAGAATACCAAGCTAGCTTACTGAAGAGAATAAAGCATTACACTGTTCTCGTTATAGTTTTTCCAATTTTTCCAATGCTATAAGTGCAATACCAGGCGTGGTAATGACAGAGATGCCATCCTCCCTAGTACAAGTCAGTGTACCACCAAAATTATTTTGAAGCTGTTATTTTAAGATAAAAAACATCCTTTCGCAGAGTTAAACCCTCAAAACCTAGCCAATCTCCTTCATCAGGACTGTGTGGGTGTGCTTTTATTAGATTTGAATGAAGACCAAATAACTGTTAACATTTTAATTCAAGTGACATCACCTTTTTTAAATTACTTAATCACTTCAAACTACTGAAAAAAAGCCAAGAGTCAAAAACAGCACAGAAATCCCTCATATTAAAAAAACAAAAAAACAACAGTACCAACTAAAAAATTACTCATATGACACTGATATGTCACAATGCTTGAGAAAAGACGTTTTGAGGGTCTTTAATGGTTGATCAAAGAAGACGTAGTTCACCAGTTTGTTTTTTTGTGCCAGGAGTGACCACAGTACTGACCATGACCACTCTGATGATGGGAGCCCGGACGTCGCTGCCCAATGCCAACTGCTTCATCAAGGCCATTGATGTTTACTTGGGAATCTGCTTCAGCTTTATCTTTGGAGCGCTCATTGAGTACGCCGTGGCCCACTTCTGCACCCTCACTCACGCCGACGCACACATGCTCATGGTGAGACCCTCCTGCATATACTGTCTTACTGTTAATTGTTGTGGTCGTCGCTGTAGTTGTGGTCACAGTCATTGTCTTCGCAATGGTGGTCACTCTCATCGTCATCATCACCATCACCATCATTACGACCATCATGGCATCACAAACACTTAGGGGTAAGTTGGACAAGCGCTACAAGCTGTCATAGATAGATGTATCATGTTTTTGGTTTCCATTCCAAACTTAATGTTTCTGTGGCTCTCACTGTCCCTCAGTACGGCCATCACATGCACGACTTTGACGACGAAATGAACGGCATCCTCACCACCATCTCCAGACACTCCAACAGGGCCAAGAGACGCAAGGAGACTGCCGCAGCTACTTCCCCATCTCCCGCCTCCCTAGAACTCACTGTCAGCCCTTCCAGCCCCTCGGGCAGTGAGCCTAAGCCCGAGGCATCACCTCCGGAGTCCACCAACTGGTGCCTCACTGTTCTGGTCACCCTCCGCAGAGTACTCCGCTCCATAAATTGCTGTCACGTGGAGAACCCCCACCACATAGACAACTACTCCAGAGTCACTTTCCCCCTCTCTTTTGTCATGGTTAACCTTCTCTACTGGACATATTATCTGTACTTTTAGCATTCGCTCAAGTGCAGCATGTGAGTCAAAGAGTGTATGTAGACAAGAAGTGTATTTTACCGTATGTATGTACAGTAAGTGTTATTTACAGTAGGTATGTTTTGAGATGGGTGTGTAACATTTCTACATTTGGATTCTTGAGTGAAGTAGCATACTCCTATAGGGTTGTTTTGGGGAAAAAGTGATTACAGCTCCATTTGTTAGATTTTACTGTGTACTTGAATTGAGTCATTGCTTTCAATTTTATACTGGTTTTCTTCAAAACTAGGCCAACCTGACGCTGACTGGGTGAGATTTGATCCGTTCTGATACACCTTGAAAGGAAGAGAGCGCTGCTTATAAAGAAAAATTGGCCAGTCTGCATATTTGTTGCTGTAGTATATTAATTTTAAGTGTCACACCGTGCAGGTTGTTACTGTCTGACACAGAGAAGATGGAGCTGTAATTTAATGCTTTATGACAGAATTTGCTAGCATTGCTGAGGGAGAGCAAATTATATTTTGATTCTCTGTTTTGATGGATTAATCATTGATAGCCTACTTTTCAACTTAATTTTCCGTTTCTGCCTGCAGGTACAACATTTAGAGGGAAATACGAAAATAATGGATGGGAGAAGAGAGATGAACAAGAGAGACGAGGGAGCTTGAAAAATATCTCAACAAAGAGAGCGTTTTAAAAACTATAAACCAGTCTCCCAAGGATGATCATTTCTTCTCTCTTGAAATCTCTCTTCCTTCTGTGTCCTTCTATGAGTTATTTTTAATTCACTGAGCAGTGCTGTCTCTCTTTGCCTGCATTTGTTTTTTCATTGACACTATAAATGTAGTAGCCTTTGATCCCTTCAGTTGTATTCTGGAAATCTGGCGCCCATGAATGGTATGGCACTTATCACACAAAATATGTCCTGCAGGTTCACAAGGAAGGCGGCCGATGAAACTACTAATTTCATAATGCTAAGCCTCCCTTTGCAGAGCTCCACAAGCACTAACTTAGCCTGCTTGAGCAACAACAATGCAAAGGTAATTCTAGATCAGCGACCTAGCTGCTGCTGCAAATAAACTGTGCATAGACACAATAGTTAACCTCTCTTCTATTTGGTTTAAAAAGGCGATATTATGCTAATTATTGGACAGGTTGTAACATTGGATTATTTTCTTGGCATCAAACTGAGGAGCCAGTGTTAGCTATTTGGTTAGTGTTAGCTCGTTGGTTCCGCTAGCCAAGAGGAGCGAGCTAGCTGGCTGCACAGTTGTTAAAAAAGACATTATGAAATAAAAAGTGACATTAAATCAAGGTCTCACTGAGGAAAAATACCATTATGAAATAAAATAGAGTTTTGAAAAATAACATTTTGATATAAAAAATGCCTATAAAACTGTTATCGAAATAAAAATGATGAAATAAAATGGCATAGTAGCCTAATGGGTATACGTATAAGTTAATAATTGATTAAATTAATTTGATTTTGATTGAATTTCACTTTTTTCATACGATTAGTTTAATCATTATTATTATTAGTTTTTGAACACTTTGGGTCTCCATACAACTGGCCAAGTGTAATGCTATACAATGGTGTGGATATACGAGTAACACCTAGACAGAGACCAGTACCGTGTTAAATGATATATGCTTCATGCCTTTTGGGCTGCTGGCAGAGTTTCTTCCTGTGCTTTTGTAAGACATGAAGGAAGAGTCAGACCTAGATGTGTTAGACATTGTAGAGTGATTTGAACGTGAATGAAATGGGCAAAACATTTCAACAGGATGTCATCATCAGTGTATTATCCAAATAGAAAAAACTTGTTATGCTGCACTTGAGGTGTCACTTCTCTCCTCAGTTTTTTAGGCTGTTGTCATCTTCCGCTGCGTGAGTATCGAGTGTTTCAGTTCAGGTGATACAGCATGTTTGCTTCTAGTGATGTGAACCAAAGAACCAAAGATTCCAATTTGATTTTACTGTTCCTCTTGGTTTCACTTTAGCTCCTGGGAGATTTTAAGTGCATTTTTTAAACGTTAATATCATTTTTATTATTCATTGGATAATTCTAAAATAGCATACAGTCAGTGGGCAGATGAACACGACACTTTACATTTCAGAAAACAGGATTCAGTTTAACAACAGAGATGCATGTTTATTTATAGCTGTATTCAATATTGCTGTGACATACTCTATCATTCCATTCCATTTTTAAGAACTACCATTCAATGTGTATTGAATATAATGGCAAGCTAAATTGTCAGTATTTATATTTAATTGCCTTTTAAACAGTTTATGTTCATATTTTAGCTGCTTATTGCTTCTCATGTTTTGATCTATTTTTGAATATGTTATCAACTACCAAGCTTTTGGATTGCACCTCTTGCCTGATTATAGAAAGTAGGATTTACTTTCATTTCTGTTCTTCCTGCATGGTTGTCAAGTGTAACTTTTGTTTCTTCTGCCCAAAGAAGATTAACCTTCCTTGGATTACTATGACCTGTATGAATGAGAATCTTCACAGACATTTTGTTTTTTCTGCTTTGCTTGATTTTGTTTTGGTTTAATATGATGGATAAGTATCATCATGAAATGGTCAGCTGAGGCCATTGACAGCATTAGATCTGTATTTTGCAGTGATGCAACTTGGGGTCTCGTCTGGGTCCAAAAGTGCAGGATGTTCCAACCCCTCTTCTCATTTTCACTTCAGTTATAAACCCTATTGTATGAAAGGCTGAGTGATCAGTGACAGTGTTCATTTGCCTCCGACTGAGCTGCGTCTGCTCTGTGGAAGTGAGCACTGACCCATTGACAAGGTTAATGTGAGAAAACACAGACTGTCGGTTTTATACAATACAGCGCCACGACCGTAGTTTTGATGGTTATCTTCTCAGTGAATAGTACAAGAAGTGAATGCAAATATTGAGCCAAAGAGCCACAAGAGCAACCACTCAAGCTTTCTGTCAGTGTGGAAGCAAACAGAATATTTAGTCACCCAGTGAAGAAGTTGATCCATTCACAAGGTTTGAGCATAGTAATTGTCCAATGGCTCCATGGTCACAACTACATTATCTAGTTTGCTGTAAACAGACAGCATTTTTTCATGAATACCCGGGGAAGTTGGAAAATATTTCATAAACAAAGGTACGAAACATTATAGGCATCATTGCCAGGACCTATTTGGAGCGACAACAAAAAAAATTGGAAAATGGCAACCTTCGGACTGCCCTGTTTTTCCTGTTGTGGGACCTGTCAGATAATGCCTCAAGGTGATGTTGGCTACCAACCTCACAGTTCCTAGGACATCTTCATGTGAAATGTATTTATATACTGTAGTACCATGTTAATATAGGCAATAGTTTAACCTATTGTAAATAAATAGTAACACTATGCATGTTTATTTGGTGTATGAATATAAATGATAGCAATAAAAGAGGTTTAACGTGTGTATTGTTGACCCTCTTTATACATTTTCCTTATACATTGTTGAAGATGTGACATTAGTGAGTAAAGATAGCATCATAATTTGACCATGCAAAATGAAGTATCCACAATTTAAATTAGAAGTGCAGGGTTACACTAGCTACCCCACAGACATGCAAATGTGTGTGTTTGTGTGTTGCAGATGTTAGGGCAGCAGTGTCCCAGTGGGAGTGGTGGAGAATGTGAGTCTTAATTCCCTACAGCTCCCTACAGCTGAGTCAGCAGAATACAGTCAGCGTATGATCGGAGTTCATCATACAGTAGATACCCACACAGAATTACTTTTTATGGGTAAATTCAGAGATGTGCCCGGCCACTTTGCTCTTTGGCAGTTCCAAGTGGAAGCAAAGATAGCTGAATTATTTGATAATGACTTAGACGTCTGTTTATGTATGCTTGCATTTTTGGCCAGTCTGATTGACTATATACAGGCCAGTTCATGCATAACAAATGTAAACAATATATCTAAATAACAAAACCCCACTTACGCAACACAATAAATACATAAATAAGATTAAAACTGGGACATACAGTATAAGAGCGTATAATTTGAGTAAACTCTTGTTACATACATACATTTATATATGTTAACACATAGGATAAACAAAGTAACGTAGTGAAATTAGATTTTCCTCTCTAAATGAACGGGAGCCTTGAATATGAAAATCAGACAGCCTGACAGTATAACCTCTATTCAAAACCTGTTGCCTCAAAGTTGCAAACAGGAAGGCAGATGCTGTAATATCCCAGTCTCCATAATGCTCACTCTATAAATCCTGATCCTCAGCTGAATCAATCTCTGTAAATTCAGAAATCCCTTTAAAAAGAGATCATCAGTGGGATAAGGCACATATCAAAGGTCCAGTTATTGACCTTCTCAGGAACTCTCCGTTGCAAATATTTTATGTTCCGCTTTGATCATAAATGGACTGATGGTCAGTCAGGCTGTAAGTTGTTGATCATACCCTCTCAATATGCAGCGGCATGGCTCAGGAGTGGGTGTCAAGTAATCGGAAGGTGAACTCCTAACCTTGCATGGCAGCCTCTGCTATCAGCGTATGAATGTTTGTGTGAGTGGGTGAAAGTTGTTGTGTGCTTTGTGTGGTCGACTAGAAAAGCTCCTTTTAAATGCATTTACCATAGCACTGTATCCCTGCAGTTTTCACTTTCCCCTATAAATGTACAGCTGACAAGATTGCAGCACCTGTCAGTCTCCAATGTATATGGCAGTTTTTTATGTATAGCATCATAACAGTTGCAACTGCTATAAGGCGAAAGCTCTTTACAGTGTCTTCAACAGAGAGTCCCTTCAGTCTCTAACCCTTCACCCACAAATGGGGTGAGTTCTGCTTGCCGCCTCATGTTTCCAACAAACCTATATTATAGACTTTTTTTTCTATTGTGTCTAACATTTTGGTTGTTCCACATTGAGCTGATTTTCACAGCTACACCCACTTTTAGCTCTTTTTGTAACCAATTCAAATCTCGGTTTTTGGTCGTTCTTATCATAAAGGCTGAATATGCAGTGTGACTGTCTGCACTTGTGTACTTTGCTCCCAGCCAAACCCAGATGAGGCAGCATCTGACGGGGCACAACCCAGCGTTTTGGAACCAAACACAACAAATTTTTATGCGGCCACATTACTCGCACATTTTAAACAACCCAAAACATAATCCCAATTATTATTACATACTGAACTGCAATTCAGGTATTTTGGAAGATGCAATGCACCCTGTGGTGAGACAAAATGGTTGGTAGTTCTATTAAAATAGAGGCTCTTGATATCACTACTTAATCGAAGAAATGCTGTTGACATTACAAATGTATTTTTTGTTTGCATGAATTGTTTTAATTCAATTAAAAATCTCATGACTAAGTAGACAACCAACCTCATGCACCAATCTGATGCATGCAAAACAGATGGGTTAAAGTTTCAATTTGCATTGTCATTGTCAAATAATGCTCTGACATAGCAACTAATTCTCATTAAACAGAGTGTCAGTCATTTCCTCAAGATTATAGAAGTATAAATAAGAAAAGAAAAACTATAGTGATGTTTGGAGTTTTTTCTTATTGTGTTGAATATGCTGTGTTACAGTATTATTGTATTTATGCAATTGCAATCGATTATGTCTGGAGTCACAGTAAATCCTACATTAAAGCAAGATAAAGTGTGACTGAACTCCCCTTCATCAGTCCACTGTTTCTGTTCTGTACTCTCTACTCTGCCTCTAGTGTTTCCTTATTGCAAATGTGAGTTTTATGCTGGTGGTGGCCATTAATGATAATGTTTCCTCACCTCATGCCTTTATTGTCTTTCACTTTAAATCTCTCTTTCTGTGTGTGCGTGTGTGTGTGTGTGTGTGTGCAGGAGGGGTGGCATTATTGTCATTGTCTTTGTTTTTATAATGTAAAGCACTTTGTGTTACATGGCTCTTGCATGATAAGTGCTATACAAATAAAGATTGATTCATTGATTGATTCTGTACCAACCACAAAGTTTGTTTTTATTCAAGACATCAAACTTTAGACATTTTAATCACTCAATCACGTTAATCATCTAAAACACTACAGTAAGCTACAGCACAGTAATACTGTAATAATGGAAAGCATAAAACATTTCTGGTAACCACAATTCAATCTACCAGACACTTATGTAATACATTGCAACCCTTTTAATCAATTTAATTAATTATTTGGTGTTTTGTAATACAATAAGGACATCATTTTGTGTTTCAAGGTAAACTTTCAGCAAGATTTTGCACAAGGAAACTCATTGGAGCAGAAATAATCACAAAATACTGTAAGTGGACTTCCTGTAGTGTGTTCCTTAAGTAATGTCTGCAACACTGTGTGTGTACTGTCATGACTTCAGTATCAAAAAATCATCAAATATGTAAACATGTATATCTTAAAAGCACACATTCTTATACTTGAGACTACAGAAATCCCAATCAAATGGCAGAAAGTCACTGATGACTGCAGACACAATGCTTTTTAACATTTGCAGTAACCCAGACATCTTTTATTACAGCCACAGCGTATCTGTTTCGTGGCTGTGTGGCACTCTGAAATATCAGTTACATCAGTGTAAAAACTGATAAGATGAGTCACATTGCGGGAGCCTGCTGCTCTCCCCGCAGGACAGCGAGTCTGAATCTCGTATGAAGGCGGCGCAGCAAAGAAAGTCATCACAGCATCAAACAGATCTCAGGGTGGCAGATTCAAGGGTATGTCAGCATGAGTGAGACCAATACAGCATTTGTCTTGGCAGAAAAGTTGCACAGAAATGTGAAATAATGTGTGCAGTCATTTTTCCTTACAGTCCATGGAATATCCATAGTGGTCTAATCAAACGGACAATAGCAGGAGGTAGAGGCCACGAGTAATTTCAATCTTGGCGAGCAGATAAATGTCTAAGGTCATTGAGATTATTGACACAGAACTGATGAGACCTTTCAAAAGCATGCAACAAATTGATCTAGTGGAAGTGTGTGTGTTTGTGGATATAGATTATGTATTTCTATATCGCCATCCATAGGCATATGCGTGACAGTGAATGTTATGAATACAATTTTGAGGTAGTATTTCCATTTTATGCAACTATACTTCTACTGAATGTTGAATGTTGATGTTGGAGGCAAATATTGTACTTTTTAATCCACTACATTCATTTGACATCTTAAGACTAGTTACTCTGCAGATTTGGATTGTGAATACAAAGTACTAATCAGTTTAGGATAATAGGTTACAATACTAGGAGTAATTTCCAGTTGCAACATTAAAGTGATGTACACATGAATGCATCACTAATTATAATCCAGTAAAATAAAATATAAGTCTAAAATAGGCTATTCTGCATAACCTTTACTTTTGGTACTTTAAGTATATTTTGATAATAGTAGCTAATAGTTTTGTACTAGGTATGAATCCAGGACTTTTACTTGTAACTGAGGTTTTTACACTGTATTATTGCTACTTTTACCTAAGCAAAATATCTCAATACGTCTTCCATCACTGTGTTTTGTCTTGAGGCTTGCCATATTGCCCATGTTTCGTTTGTGTATGCAGCTTTGTCCTATACCAAACCCATTATTACGATCCACATGGCTGCTTTTAGTACTAGAGAGAAAAAGGTGTGACATGTCCATAACCAGCTAATTCTGTAAACAGTCACACTGCTAATTTAAATCAGTAAACCATTTAACCTTGTAATACCAGAACATGTTCTCCTGACACAGCCGGCAGAGCACCAAATTGTGCTGCTCTGTGTCACCACAAGATGGCAGTACGGAATCACATTTCACCATCAAATCCACTGCAGTGCACATCAGCTGCACTGTGCAGCAAAGCATGAGAGCAATGACATTCGCTCACATGTTGCTGCACTGAGGAGGTATCAGCTGTTATCAGAATTTATTGACAATCCACCTTTAATGTTTTAAGCGGATTACGTGTGTGAAACTTGTGCGTGTTTCTTGTTTAGCTCTTGTTTAATTTCAGTGTTCCTCTCCTGAGGGAGCTGCAGGTCACAGTCACAGGGAGATACACGAGGAGAAAAAAATTATGCTCATTAAAATTGGGTTCAGCTTGGGTGATGGAATTGTTTAAGTAGATTATAAAGCTGCAGTGTTAACAAGCAACCTAATGAATTGATGGAGTTAGGAGATTGATGGACTGATTGGTTGACTGATTTTGCTGGCTAATATTTACTGATGTTATACAAAAATAAGATCACTGTTTTATGGGAAAAGGAGGACATTCTAAGATTGATAAGAAGTAGGTGTTTCATTTAGCTACTGTACATTTGTGAACAACATCTTATTGACAGTCTGAACTGATCACAAGTACAATCTTTATTAAGCATTCTAATTGGTGTGATTGAACTCATTGTTCTGCGCATTCTCACCTTTAACTTGAAAACATTTTATGCTATACTGTTTATATACTGATGTGTGTAATACTGTGATATGTGTAATTTTACACTGTTTCCTGCTTTTTCATAAAATTTAAAAGAAAATATCTTTAAACAACACAACATTTTAAAAGACAGAATGATGTTTTAAAGGTCTCATATTAAATCCACTTTGTCAACCTAAATATGTGTCCCCGGTGTGTCTAAAGAGCCCCAAACTGTGAGAAAAAACAACATCCTCTCTTTTTCTCCTGCTCATGCTTTCAGTAAAAATGTGTGCGACCATGGCATTCCTCCCTTCTTGACATCATGGAGGGATCTGCATAGCATAGGACCCACCCACTGAACGCATAGTGGCCACTTACTGTCCAACACAAAACCAAACAAGTCGTTCCATCGCTGAGCTAGAGCTGGAGGTTGTTCAGGATGTCTCGTAGAAAGTGCTTTTGAGGTTATGGCGGAAAGTTAAATATTTTCTAGTTTTCCCCCAGATGTCCTCCGTCTACTCTGCCTCAGCTCTCTGTGATTTACAGTGTTTCCTGACGGACAGATGACTTGTTGCTAAAGCTAGCAGTAACCGCTAGCTACTGCTGACTGTAGCTGTCATTATCAGCTGGCTCTGCCCAAACCGGGTGCCCCCAGTGGTTTAAAGCTTCTGTACTAACGTTAGAGGTGTAAACACCAACACACCAAGCTTTCAGTCCAGAGTCAGCAAACAGGACGGCTAACTGAGCTAACTAGCTAGTGGCAGCTACGGTTAGCAGTAAATACCTGATAAATTGTGCATTTGTGGTGTCAGAATAATCAGAAAAATTATTTCCCAACTGGGAAAATTCACATGAACACCCACTGAATTTGCCGAGTTGTTGACGTCATACACATAGAAACAGGGTTGATGGTTAGAAACGTTTAAATAATGGTGGAAAATCACAGATTGCATATCTTTGCTGAGGTGTCATTTGTAATATAGTATTAGGCTTTAACAGTTAGTTTGATGTCCATGTAGAGTGAAGTAGATTTATTAGGAAAGTTATTTGTTAGTAGTATTTGCAGTACAAGCAATATTTTAGTGGTTTCAGGTAATGTACAGTAACAACTCTGGGACAAAAAATTGCTTTGTAATAGAAAGCCTCAAACTGTTTCAGCAGAGTTGGATGACAATGATGATGCTAATCCAACACATCTTTATGGTAGCATCCGTGCTGTTTCCTTATTCCGACTTCCGAAGCACATGAGCATACTTAAGTCGGGAGAACAACTTACCAACTTTGGAAGAGGACCACATGAATGAACATAATTGCTAACAAAGAAACCCTGTAAATCACGGAAAGTTGAAGCAGACCAGCCTGAGGTCATCAACTGGAGAACCAGGAAATGTTTTCTCCATAAAATATGATCCAGTTTCACCATAACCTGCGAATAAAGTTATAACGTTGTGTTTTAGACCCTAGGCCTAAAGTTATTAATTAAATATGTTAATGTCTATACAGGTCTGCTCACTTCCTTTGTAGGCTACCTATAACATTGCACCTGTATACAATGCAAATACCATTCCACTTAAATTCCATTATCTGAGTAAATGTGAATGCATCTGTGTATGAACAAATACATGCATGTATCTGAATACATATGTACTTTTACTATTATTATTCCGCTTTTAATTCTTGTTTCTATTTGGTTAGCACTGTATATGATGTACTCTGGACCTGGCTAGCTTGTATATACATTTTTTATTTCTGTATATTAATGTTGGTGTCTTGGCTGGGTGTAATTATACGCATGACACAATAATAAAGCTTCATTCATTCATTCCATTCACATTCCAAATGCTCACCGCACACTGATCATCAATACTATTTCATGATATATCACAATTTATGAGGTATGCTGAGTTGTGTAATGCATTAAAGTTTACAGAGGGGCATTCACTCCCAATGTATTCATAACCAAGCGCCTGTAGGCTATACAGTAAAAATTCCATTCAAGATTCAAAATGCTTCGTATTGCTGATTCACTTTGAATAAATTCATTATGATGACATGTATTTTACAATAGGAGTTATTATGAGTTAAATAATTTATTATTAACTTGGTTGGCCTATTCAGTTCAATTGCATTTATAACTTGACACCTGTAATTAATACAAACTCAATTCAGATTTCAGAATGCTACGCATTGCAATCTGAACAACAGTGCATATGCTCATTACAATGACAACCCCCCCCCCCTCTGCCTGCGGACCTCAACACCTCAATGATGGATGTTTGCTTGCTCGGGTCACACAGGTCACAGCCCCCTCAACCTCGTCCTCTCAGGAAACCACTGTGAGTCTATTAAATTTCTGGTTATTTCTTCTCGTCACGGCCCAGTGGTTTTAGGCCAAACTTGGCTTCAGTGCCATAACCCACACATTGACTGGACCACAGGGTCAATAGTTAGCTGGAGCATGTTCCGCCACTCCCACTGTCTCTACTATATGTCTCTAGTTCCCTCTGTGTATCATGATTTAGGGGAGTTGTTCAGTAAGGAAAAGGCCCCCTCACAGACCATACAACTATGCCATTAACTTTCTC